GGTTAGCCCACAGTATTATCACAAAATCACATTGTGCGTTGTTTATAGTTCATTCTCTTCGCGTTAACTCTCCATTTTGTGCGTCTGTCCCCTACCGTATGGTCATGCAATTACGATTTTTTAGAAAATATATAAATATATCAAACCAAACGAGAGTAACAACGATGATAACAATCATTTTATGCACACTCGATTCTGTCCAGCTGGCACACACACACATGATGTGCGTGCATCCGTGTGCGATGTCGTGAACACAACAATTGAGGTTACAAATTATTCCTTCTACTAATAATTGACTGTCCAGTGGCACTTTCGTAACGGAGACGTTCGCAAACGCAAACACACACATACCGAGTTCAAAGACCTCAGCCACGCAAATCCATTTCACTGTCCCCGGTCCACTCACACTTCTGAATCAAAATGCCATTTAAAAAACTAAAAGGTTGTGTTGGTACTGGTGGTGGTTGGGTGCGGGCAACTTCGATATGCATGTACGGTGTGATATGAGTGACGCTTTGTGCATTTCTGTACCCAATTTTCGCGTATGAATTCATCCATCCGAGTGGCAAGAGGGTGCGCGATTTTTTCCTCCTATTATCATCATCGCCATGGCGAAATTGTTCTTTATCGGTTCCGGTCACACTGCTGCTGTTTTTGTTGTTGTTGATGATGATGATGCTGTTATCCCTGTTGTTGCTTTCTCATCACAACACACACACACACACCAAATCTGACCAAGACCCAGCTCTCCTCTTCGTCCGCCTGTTTGGACTAAATTCTATCCGTGTAAATTCAGTCATTTTACCTAAAATAAGTTGGACTGTAAGATGAGGAAACGAGTACATCAATATTTGAACATGTATACGTGTGTGTGTCTGTTTGTCTGTCCGATTGTCTGTTTGTTTGTGTATCCACGTGGTGAACCGTTGCTGTTGTATATTCGTATTGGGAGAAAAACTACACCGAACCGATTCGGTTCACATGGGCTTCCGTCCTAGCGAGCGAGATGGTCATATACATAGTTTGTGAATAGCACCTTGGTAGACAGCTCCAACAGTATTCTGTTCCTTCACCTTCCCGTCCCCCTCCCCCAACCCACCCCACTCCAACCTACCCACCCGACAAACTATATAGTGTAGTTTTCATCTACACAGACCACGGCAACACCCGATGGTACCTGACCGGGATTCGGGGAGGTCTAACTGATTCGATAATGCGATAACTTCAGGAGACTGCCAGCTTATGTCTATCCCACTGTCTCATATTTGTGTGTGTGTGTTCGTTCCGGAACACATCCGATTATTCGCTGTCTCCGTGCTCGCGTACACATGTGGTTGGCCTTGTATGATCGAGCGAGTGAACGAGATTGAAGAAGAGTAAAAACGGCAGGCCGAATTACACATACCGGATTATGAAGCGGGTGTGTTGGATACCGGTCGATCTGGTCATCAATGTCTTTTTGTTTACACAAACACACACACACAAACAGTTGTGCTGCACATGAAAATTCCCGACAGGTAGGTAAGTTGCTAAAATGCAAGCGGATAGACATACTTCCGGAGCGATTTGTAGTTATCAGATGTAAACGAACGATGCATAATGTCGCCAAAACTATATTGTAGTATTAATACTACATCAGATACATTTACCACTGTCGCTCGTGCTCTAACGATCACTGTGTGCCGAATCTCTGATTACTACCTTTGGTGGCACTCAGTCCCGACTAGTTTTTTCCCCTTCGCTTAGGTTTCTGTGTATGTGTGTGCGTGTCCGTGTGTGTGAGCATAACACTTACAGACTCCACCAGAGTGAGATTGCGCACGTGTGTGAGCGAGACGGAAAAGGGTAAACGAATAGGGTTTACTGTATCTCTCTCCCC